AGAGAGAGAGTTTAGCCATGCTTAGCGGAGTAGTTGAAGTGATGGCAATGTTGTTCAGTCCACCATTTTCTTCCGTACAGAAAACACATCATGAAATTCTGTTCAGACATTCATGGTCCTCAGATGATGAATCCTACCAACTTTGGTGATCCGCAGACTTTTCCGCGAGCGCCACCATGACTTCTACATTTGTGGTTTTGAGTCAAATCTTTCAACAACTATTGGACAGCAACATGGATTGGGATAAAATTGGGTACACACATCCATGCCCCTTTCAGGGTAATTGTAATAGCTTTGGTGATATCTTAACTTTTCTTGTAGTATCATCAACAAGTCAAAATGTCCTTTTGTCCAACACTTTTGGACAGAGGACTAAGGATTATCTTGATTAACCGGGTCATATTTTCTTGAATGAGACGTTGCTGTTGAGTTTTTCAAATGTATTTTCTTGGCGCTTTGAGCACCACGAGCCGAGTGCCATACAGTCCCATTATATTCGAGAGAAGGCCGACATCCATACGGCTGATATAACACTTGGCAACTCACACCGAAAACTATCTAGATTGATTAAAAGCATGACAGCTAAGTCGATAACATGTATTTTGGATTTTTGGGTGAGTGCTAAACTAAGATCGTGATCATGGTTAACGTCATACTTGCAATACATCATAATGTTAGCATTGACACTGTGAGCCCGTTAGCATGCTGACGTTAGCATTTAGCTCAAAGCACTGAAGGACAATTAAGTTCTAACTAACTAAATGACTCGAAAGAGAAATACAGCCCAAATAGTGGACCATTGTGTTAAAGAGACAGTGAGCAAGAACGAAAAAGACATACAGAGAGGGATGAGTGGTGTAACGTTACAGTATGTGCAAAATCAAACATTCAATCTCCTTCACTTCCAGTCTTATTATTTATTTTTTTATTCAGAAATGCACATATATTGCATACCCTGTGCATAACCATATGCTAAACAGAACCACTGCTTTGACAGCATTGTGCTTTAACAGTCGACCCCCCAAAAAAATGTTTTTTGAATTGAACTGAATTGAACAATAATAAGAGGTGGCCTAAATGAAGAGACAAAAGAAACAAGGAAGAGGACATTTTACTTTTGAGCAAAGATAAAGAGGGAATGAATGTTCATATTCATAATCATAAACCACTAATGTCAGGAAGCTATATGCATGTGGATCTGATAGTGATAATGACAGTAATATATCCCCTTTGAACACACACACACACACACACACACACGCACACACATTTTCTCAGGCCTTGGGGCAACGCAGGAACCGAATGGACTCAGTTAGCTGATCATGACTCCAATATACAACTCCTATCAACACCATCAATCTAACCTGCACACACACACGCGCACAGATACACAGAGACTACACACACACACACACACATACACCCACACACAAAATCAATACTGTAGACAGGAACCATGCGTGGTGATTCAGTGCACCCCCGTCCCACCCACGCTCCTCAACCCTGCTGCCGAACAGATGTATGGCCTTGGACTTGAGATCCTTTATCTCCTGGATGAGGAGAATCTAAACGGTGCGGAGAAAAGGAATTAAATCCGAAACAACAGCGCTGCACATCAGTTCTGAGAAAATTAGCTGCCGGAAATTTGTCTGACTTTTATTTTTTGCTTTTATTAACTTTATGCAAAATGAGGTCAGTGGACAAAACTGGCCTCCTTATGTTACATTCAAAGGGAATGAATGCAGCCTGTGGAATCTAGGGAAGCAATATTGACATTTGTGTTTGTGTCATTTGAAATTCTAATGCTATAAAGCAGCAGATATTTAAATGGCCTCAGGAGTTTTGCTTTCTGCGGAATCATGCTGCCATGAGAAACACTAATGTTACCAGTCAGATATGTAGAATGATTACTTCCATTCTTTTAACCTCCTGATGTCTGTTGCCCTTCTTTTTTTATATTTAGACTTTATTGAGAGACTAAGAAAAAAGGTAAAGGTGCATAAATGCACTTAAGCTACATTCGGTTTCTACTTGACACGGCCTGAAACGATTAGTTTGAAAGAAAATTACCTGATAACAATTATGAGAATCAACAAGTCATCTGAATTCCTCCTTAAGTAGAAATACATTTGATATTGTTACGTTTTACATTTCTTTAGAATGAAAATAAACAATTATACAACATCAGTTTGGGCTCTGGTAACTTGATATTGAGCGTGAATCCTTATTTTTCATATTTTACAATTTTATAATTAGTGGATCAATGATGATAAAAAAATTCAGGCTGCAGTCCGAAACCTGCAGGAGTAAAGCATGAGAGTCAAAATGTTAACCGCCTGAGTGAAACCTACCATGACCTGCTGCCAAAGTTGTGGCAAAATTGTTGAGAAATCCACTGGAAGTGTGACCATTATTTGGACTGAGTGAACTGGACTTTATATAACATAGCTCCATTGGATGTTTGTAAAATGCTGAATAATGAAAACACAACCGAGAAAACACTTATCCCTTTTTAGAATTTAAATTAAACATTCATAGTTACTTCATTAAATAGTTCTCCACCCCCACCTCCAACACACACACACACACACCACTTCTTATTCCAGACGTGTATCATGAGATTGATTGCATGTGTGTGCGCATGTGTTGTGCGTGCGTGCGTGTGTTGTAATCTAGTGTGTCTCAAGAGGGTGATTGCTCAGCCGTCCAGCATGTCTGAAGTCATCAAAAGGAGTGAATGTAACCTTGGGGCAGCTTTCCGGAGCTCAGCACACAAGCAAACACACCTGCATTCATATGCAGACACACAAATGTGCAAACATGTTTGCAAGCAGATTCACTGGCACGCACGGAAAAGAAAGCTTGCATCTATTTTCGGGCATAGATTAATACACACACGGACTTCAGTTACAATATGCAAATTCTTAGTTTTACTGTTGGTTGTGAGCAGGTGAGCAGCAGAATGTCAATGAGTGTGTCAACCTGTGTGGCGACTCTGTGTAACCACATGTTACGGTACAGTAGCTCTACCTTTAATCTGGATTCAGCTCAGTCAGGCTAAATCATCTGTGTATGTACTATTTGAATTTCTTTTTTTACATTTCCCCCTCATCTTAAGGAAACACTTGTGCTCTTATTGTCATGTGAGGCCTGTTTGCACAACCATATCTGCTTCAATACAGTATGTTCATTTGCATTAACATCATGTTTTCAGAGGAATGCTGCTCATTTTTCTTCAACATATCAGACATTTTGACATTGTACTTATCTGCAAAAATGTTCACAGCCAACATTTTCCCTTATTCCTCCAATATAAGCATGTATTTAAGCTTAACTGTGGTTGAGGTATGGCTAAGATTAAGGTCAGGGCACTTAATGATGCCGTTTAATCATAGATTTGCAAATTATATGTAGCTCCATATAAATATTATGGCCGACATTACGATGCATTTCCTCCTAAAAGTAATTGCTAATGCAAAACAGCTGCTCTCAGAGTAATTTGTAGGACATTTGGTTGGTTATTAAGCAAAACGCATATAAATGCAAGTTTGTCCCACATGGTCAAGAAGGGTTGCCAGTTCCTCATGTAAACCTGCATGAAGGCATGAATAAGCGTATTACCTTTAATTACTATTATCTAATTTGTAAAAACAGAAGCTCCTGGATGATTCAATTTCAACTTCCGCAAAGTCGGTTTCATTCGTATTAATTCTGTCAGGGGCGGCGCAGAGTAATGGACACAGCAGAGGCGAAGGTTGAGTGGTAATTGACTCCAACCTTTGTGTGTACAAAGAAAACATCAGCTGAGGGACGGCGTGTGTATGTGTGTGTCTTTACCACTGAGTGTGGTATATGTGAGATCAATAAGCTATATAACAAAACGGGGCTTTGTTAAAAGCAGTCACTTATCAGGTGGCCATATATTCTACAGCTCTCTAAGTCTTTGACACACACACACACACACACATACTGGCCATCTGGATACTTTCAGGGTTCATCTAATTCAATTTCTATGCCTGTAAGCTGTATAAATGCATATTGGTTTTACATATGTTGTACAATTTGTCAGGTGCTCCCCTCCCCTCCTGCACCTGTAAGGTACATTTCCTCTCCTTCCAGGAACATCATGTGACAGCGGGCACACCTGGCACAGCTGGGGTGGTATCGCTTCCCTCCAGCCTAGAGGAGAAGAACAGGAAAGGAAAGGAAAAGTGAGAGGAAATAAATAAGGCAGAGAGAGAGAGAGAGAGTGACTACAGCGGATGACACAAATGAGGAAACCAGAACGAAGTGTGGTGATAAGAAATGGAGAAAAAGAACGAGGAATGAAGAGAGAGGAGAGGCACGATAAGAAATAGAAAAAAAAACCCAGGAATGAATAGGGGTAGAGGAGATGGGAGAGTGTTGCTTTGTTGGTTTTGCAAAGCTGCTTCGTCATCAGTCAACACTTCAGACATTTAAAGAGGGACAGCTGTGTTTTTTCGCAGCTTTTTATAGACGGACACACGTACACACACACATACTGGCACACAAACCCACACTTTCCTCCACAAAGACGAAAAAAATATGCACATTCTCCCAACATTGTTCCCATCTGTCTTAAGCATACACACACATATCCACACATGGAAACGTGCACTCACCTCAAGTACTCTGCCGCTGATGTACCTGTTACAGCTGTCACACCTGATCCCAAACTGAGTGTGGTAGTCAGTCTCACAGTAAGGTATCCCATCCCTGATGGGGTGAAAAAATAAATGAAATACTCTCACATTGAATTCCCCTGCTGTCTTTGTGCAACTGTTCCACTGTTATTTATCCTGTAACACATTGCTTTTTGATGCAAGATTCAGCTACATGAGTCAACTGGAGCAAAAACAAAGATCTTTCATTGTGATTTCTGTGTCTAGTTGATTAAAAGACTTGTCTTGCCAATGAATAACGGATATACACAGGTGATGGCGAAAAATAAATCCTACTTTTGCCACAATAAGAGTACTCCAAGTAGCTTTCTGAAAGCACACTGGTCACAGTGGAGAAAATATTTGATATTGGCTCAAACATAACTACAGTAGAGACTGTACATAAGGGGGATCAAGCCACCTACTTGCTGATGTACTCTCCAGTGAGCGCACAGCCGCACGTTCGGCATTTAAAGCAACTGACGTGCCACTGTCTCTCCAGAGCCAGCAGAGACTGACCCTGTTTGATCTCCTCGCCACAGCCGGCACAGTCTAGAGGAGCAGAGAGGAGAAACAGGAAATGCAGCGATGAACACAAAAAAGAAGATAAGATCAGCTTCAATATTCTGAGCTTCCACTCAGTCCTCGTCTCTCTGCTCTGCCAAACTCTCATCCCTTCTCTCCTCCTTCCTCTCTCCTCCTCGTCCCTCTTTCCTGTCGTTATAGTCACACTGTCTTTGCCAGATGGAGCTACAAGAACCAGGCTACAAGACCACCTGGAGCAGCAGGCCACCTTTTGTGTGGGTGCATGTGTGTGGGTGTGAAGCTGCAGGGGGATGTGTGTATGTTTTGCAGCGTTCAGAAGGTGGACAGTGAACCTCTTCTGGGGTTCTTTTCCACCTGTCGGGGAGAAAACGGTCTTACATGCTGGATGTAGGTCATTTCAATACTCACTAAGGCACTTAATGTGTATTATTCAGAAGGTGGAAATAGTCACCAACAAATACGCTCTTTACTCCTGTTTGATTCATGTCAGCTAAAAACTGCAGTGCAAGGGGTGTTGTAACATATTACGTAACCTTTTTAAAGAAAAATGAAACTTCATATGTGTGAATAGTTCTGAAAGATCTTTATCTGCAGTACAAACCAGTGCTGTAGAACTCTAGATCGATCTGGAGAATTTTTAAAAACGTCTAAGCCTCGTCTCGGAACCAACCGCATTTTTACTCAGTCTTGTCTCGGTCTCAGAGAAAGAGGGCTTGTTATTTTGAAATTATCCTATGTGTCGTCTAATTTATTTATTACAATCAGTACTGTGAGTGATCACAGAAAACAAAGGAAAAAGACCCACACATACAATTCCCCTCTGCAATACCTTTTGATTATTTTATTAAATTTCTCATGGTACGCATATACACACACACACACACACACAAACACACACACACACACACACACACACACACTCTGTGGGTGTTTGTATGGGAATGTGGATCTTTCAGATCTTCACTCGGTCTCGCTCTGCCTTGGTCTTGACCCCCCCTCAAAGTCTTGATGTTTTCTTGGTCATGACTCAAAATGTGAACTGAATTGATTGCTGGCAAGTAGCTATGGCACCACAGACGCTTTAAAAAAAAAAACACAACTTCACTTCATGCATTGTTTGTGTATAACTGCACAGCTTGTCATGAATGATCCCTTATACAGTGTATGTAACATTCAAAATTAAGAGTATAAGTATGGTGTGGTTTGCATGTGTGTGTGTGTGCATACGTTTGTGTGTGTTTGTTTCTTACAGCTTGGTCCATGGACCTTGATGGGCTTGTCGCTTTTCAGAGTGTGTGAGCACTGCTGACACACACACTTCTTCCCACAGAAGGTCACCCTGTCTCCTATTGGGAACGGACTCCTGAAAACACACACACAGAACATTCCAGTAAAGCTATGCAGATATGGTGTTCTACTGTTCACCCAGAACGCCAAATAACATTTCAACTCTTACCCCCTAGTGGTGCAGTATCTGTCTGTGCAGATAGATACAACACTTTTGTTTTGCAGACATTTTGACAAATGCAAATATATTTTTATCCAAACAAAATGGATTTGAATGGAATGGCAGCTGTGGTTTTCATACTGAAAAAACTAAGACTGAGGAGCATATAGTTTAACACCAGTAGGACATGTTTTTTGTTATCCTTACAGAACTTGTATTTTTTCTCAAATTCACCACTAAAAAATGTATAGTAAATCAATGGACCTTCAGTATCTGAGAACATATTCGATTATATTTCACACAACAATCTGACATTAACATTATTTCTCATTTTTTGGTTTAGCAGAATAGACTGAAATATGAATTCAAGAAGGCATTGAAGTATAAATCAATATGTACAGTAAATGCCTTTTAGCCTGAGGGCTCAGCTGTAGCCACATAGAGTGAGGGCAGAGGTGAGCATCTGCAATGCAGCCACAGCTGAATCCAATTGTTTTCATTGTATACAAATCTGTATCCAGATGACAGCAGAGATGTCCAAAACTCCTCCGGTAGAAAATAAGAAAACTGCAACACACAAGCTGATAAAGGATAAAGTAGCCGCTGCTGTTCTGCAGTCGCCTCAGAAACAGAGAGTTCATCCCAAGTGTGATTCAACATTATTTGGTGATGATATCAGTTACTAGTAGTATTTTCTCACACATTATTGAAGATTTTAAACTGATCTGTCTAGTGGCAGTGAGAATATTTGGAGGACCTTTCTTTGATATCTGTTTAGTTGCAGGAAATTGTCATCAAATTGTCAAATTGTCATCAAATTGTCTATTTGATGTCCCACATATTGGAAGTCAGAATCAATACACTGCCCAGCTCTGTATTATGCTACATGCCCCCTCTGCACACATCAGAGAGGTTGTTGTGAGAGTTCGGTCAATGCTTGCGAATAAAATTCATTTGAGAGACGCAATTTTATTGCAATATGCTGACAGAGTCATTTTCAAAATGAATAAGCTTCATTCACATTTCAGTACAGTGGGTTCTTATTCAGTGGAGTGGGTGCACAAACAAACACATACACATAAATAGGGGGACTAGAAAAACGGTCAATACAAGCAATTCAAAAGCTAATGATCCATCTGTACATCTAACACACTCACTGACAGTTAGCCTTTTATATTATCATCATATTTACTGTGCAGCTCACCAGTCACACTTCATTCAGTTACTTATTACATTCACTGCAGCTTTGAATGAACTGAAGCCAATACTAAATTGACATGATATATAAGAAATAAAGTGAGACCAGCCGACTACAACAGACACGAAGCACATATATGAAGTGTTTCATATTTCAAATATTTCAAATAGTAACTTGTTTGATCTTGGATGTGATGTCTCATCAACGCCTTGCCTACACTGATGCACTTAAGGGTCATTAATTGGTACTAATTAAAGGGCCACTCCACTCATTTTATATGCATTTTAAAAATATATTATATAGCCTTTAAAAGTTGTATAATCTCTTTCTAAGTTCTAGTAAAATAACTAGGTGGCAACCACTGGGTCTGAGAATTGAAGCCTATCCGGGAGTGCCTTAAACTTCATTTCTTTCTAATGTCTGGAATGGAATGGAATTTATGGATTCAATCACTCGTTTTAAGTCTTCTTCAAAACAGCATGATGTTCATTTAGTGAATTATGGTCACGTTTGGAGTCAAATAGACCATAAAGCAGAGTGTGCTTTAGGGCGTGTCTACCTTGTGATTGACAGGTTCCTACCACGGCGTTATCCAGCCTTGGAGTTGTCTGTGTTTTCATCTGAGAACTTTCACAATGTGTCTCCAGTTCATGAAAGTTAATTGTAACATTTTTGGTCGCCTAAAAATAGTCTTATTCAGAGTTTTGTTGTACTTAGCTCCACCCTCTCTTGTCACTTCTAGTTGCAAAAAGCCAAGATGGCAACTGTCAAAAACCAAGATGGCGACGGCTAAAACTGCTCACTTGAGGCTTCAAAACAAAAGTCCACAAACCAATGGGTGACGTCACAGTAAATACGTTCACTTCTCATGTACAGTCTATGAAAATAACCCAGAGGATGTCATGTTTAAAAAATATGGGAGCTTATTAGAGAGATGCGGTTGAAGGAAATACGCTATCAACTTGCATTATGGGAGTTGTAGAGTCCAGAAACTTTGATTTATTACTTTTAATTCGCTATATCAAGTTGTGTTGACTGTGAGTTTCAATTAAAACATCGCCTACAGTGTTTCTTAGCACTGTCGTGAGTGTGCAGTAGCTTTGGTGTACACTGGTCAGTGATACCAAACACAGACACAGGAATTATACTGGCCCGCAGTTCTCATACATCATTGCATTTTTAATTGTAAAGGGCCATCTGTGGTATGCAAGAAGTCCTGAACAGACTTGCAAAGTCATTAAAACACAGTATGTGGCGCTGTGAGAATCTAATTGTTTTTGTAATCACAAGTTACAGGAATGAAGCAGTGCCAAGAGGATCCCTGACGACTCAACACAAAGAGCTGTAAAGAATGGTGTTAAAAATTTGAAATATTAAATATCCAATTCTCCTTCTACTACTACTACCAATGTCAACCATACTATGTTTAAAATACTTTAAATGAATTCCCAGAGCAGAAAAAAAGGATGTTTCTGAATATGAGGCAAGAAATTACAGGAGTGTGTTGTGACTATACCTGCAGATGCTGCAGACGAAGCAGTGTGGGTGGTACGTCCTCCCCAGTGCAGACACCACCTCCCCACTGATATACTGGTCACAGCTGTCACACTGGGTCCCGTACAGCCGCTGGTAGTCCTCTGTACAGATGTACTCGCCAGAGTGGTGGAAGAAACCTGAGTGCACCAGATCACAGCCACAAACTGGAAAAACAGAGAGAGAAAAAACCATGAATCAGCTCACATCATTCCTTCGAAATACAAGGAGAGAAAGTAGGTACTGAATCACTGCATGGCAGCGGTGATAGAAACTCTTTCCTCACTAAAGAAAAGCTCTACAGTGCAAACACAAAAATAAGGTATAAAGGGCTAGTCAGATAAGGAGTTGGCATGCAGCATGTATTTCTTATTACTGTTTAAGCCATTAATGCCTATAATTAAATCAATACATATGATCAGTATGTATGATACTGTAATTAAGAAACTTGAGTTGCCAGTCTGCTTTGACACAAACACCAGTGTTCATCCACAGATCTAAAGGTTTACCCTTCTGCAGGTGCATAACGCTTGTACCACAGTCCTAATTATTTCTGAACATCCTTAAAGGTTCTAACGACCGTTGGATTTATGCCATTTACCCTACTTTCTCCCATACTTGGTGTACTGTCACTATTGCATCCGCCATTTTTGCTCTTTTCACCCATAATGCGTTCCGCAAGAGTCTCACATTTGTCACTCATAGGGAAGTTATTATATACAGTCTATGATAGGGAAGCTTAATGCAACAGGTCATTTTAACTGTATAGCAAGTCTGACTTAATGTTATATTTAAGACAAAGACAACTGGTTTGAGAGTAGTTAACAGTACACATGGCCAGTATTTAGCGTGTGTGTGTGTGTGTGTGGTAGTGGAGGGGGTGGGGTTGTTAAGAGTGCAATCTGTTGTTCTCTGACCTTTAAAGGGTTAGTACTCTAATCTGGTTTTGAGGATTAGACCAGTAACCAACTAATCTGTTAATTTTTTTATACTATGTTTTGGTTGTCTGTGCATGTAAGATTAGGTATGAAAAAATGTGGTATGAGTGCCTGAGTGTAATAGTTTGTACATATGTACCTGCATGTGTACATATGTTTATATGCATCTATGTGAGTATAGTGTGATGGATGCATGTCCAGGCAAAGGGACACAGGAGCGCTCCCGCTGTGTTTACTACGTCCACTGACAGCATGATGTATGGCTTTTATTCAGCAAATGCTGAGTCCTTCAGCCAAATGATTGATTCTGGTGCAGCTGTGCCGGAGGATGACGTGGTCTCTGCTGAGCTGGTTGGTTACATCGTATAAAAAGGAGCTGAACGATGATTTGCTCCAGCTATAAGGGAGGTAGGGAGCTTACTCTCTCTTACCTCCCATCAGTTGTGTTTTAAAGACTTTATAACAGCGATTCGGGATCTACAACAGGTTTTTTTTTTCATGCATGTCCCCAAAATGTATTGAATCTCTCATGCTGTCAGTGTCAGCGCCATGCTTTACCCATTCAGCTGTGCACAAGTCCACATATCTGTCGTGTTATAAGCCGTACTGTACAGCCCCAACCAGTGGATGTTTCAACGAAGCGCTATGATACAACCTGGAAGTACAGTAAGTTAGGCATTGGAAAGGCAGCCAACGGATCCAAATATCTGACAGTGAATTGAATGTCTGGGCTCTAATTAAGCTAATGGCTCTAAACCCAATGGAGTGAATGGATCCGATCTGATCCGAGCCAGTGTGTTAAGTGGCTCAGACAGAGAAAGAGACACTGTGGAGCAAGACAAGCAGTCCAGCTGCCTAATGTATGCGTCTACTGGAGCCAACCTGAAGTCATAAAGACAGTAAAGCAATATGTAAGTGAACTGTAGTTTAGTTTTCTCCACATAAGCCTGGAGCCAAACACATGAACCTTTTGGTTTTCATTTAGAGAGAAAGACTTTGATGAAGCCCAGGGATCATGGACTCATGTCATGGTAACTTGCCATGCCCTTTTAAAAGTGCATTCTTGTAATATTATGTAGATGGTATTGCTGTTCACTGCACATTTTTGTCACTGGACTATCTGCAATTACATTACATCCATTAACTGCTGACCGTAAAAAGTGCCATTATTGCCAAGAGCTCCATAGTGCAGGCACATTGTTGCATCGAGGCAAGTTTATGTGTATAGCACCTTCCAACGACGAGGCAATTCAGAGTGCTTTACAAGAGACATGAAAGGCATTATTACAGGATATGAAAGAAACACAAAAAGGCTGATTGTCTGTGGAATTGTCTTAATGTGGTTATTTAAATTACAAACCAGTATTATGGTTTTCTATTTTTTTCTATCTGTTTCTTTCTGAAGGCGCCAGAAACACACTGAACCAGGATGGAACTCCGTCACAATGCTCACTGTATTTAAACTGTTCAAAGTTTATACCTGCGTGACTCCAGTCCGAGTCCATTTTCAGCATATGTGTTAATTTGTAAATTTGAACCTAAGGAGGTGATTTTCCAACACATGCCTTGATGCCTTTAACACCATCTTCATTATTGTCTTACAACAGAATGATCTTCTTACATTTGTGTTAGTTTGAAGATTGGAATCAATGTATTCATATCGGAAAGAAGAACTAGGACATCGTTCTCAAGCGCGGGAAACGCTGTACAGTATTTTTGTTTTCCCACTCTGTCTCTGATAACTGCATTCTTTCTTGTCATGGCAAAGCTGCTGTCGCACAACTTTAAAATGCCAGCTTGACCTTTATCAGTCTGCCTGAGACTAAAGCTGCTCACAAAATGATGTTCAACAAGGCAACCGTCTTTTCTTACTATCCACTGGGATTCAAAAGATGGAGTTATGTGGTTTCCAGCCAGCTGTGACAACATGATGTATACAAACCTTCATATAGATAAAGATACACTCTTTCCCTCTGTTTTCAAGACACACACACTTGAGGAAGACTTTTTTTTAATCCTTTTTCACTCTGCTGATAGCATTCACACATTCATCGCTGTCTAAATGGAAAGCTATTAAGATGTGGAGGCAAACCGGAAAGAGAGGGAGCAGTTGAGGCTTGCCTGGAATCCAGAGGGACCTCCGGTATATTTGCATTTTCAGATCACATGCCACTTTCAGAAACAAGAACAAATTATTCACAAATAATCACAAATGTTTTGGTGCTCTTGAATGATCAACATTGAGCTTCAGACATTTAAAATAAAAAAGTTGTCAAATTACAAAAGAAAATTAGAAAAATTAAAGAAACGGACAAAAAAAAAGAAACAAAAAAATGTATTTAGTCGTGTAATTTGTGTCGGTTTGCTGATTGTTATCTGACGGGACTGGAGGCACCAGCTGGTTACATTCATACTCAAAAGGGCACTTTGGGCTCGTGAGTGTGCACATGGATATATATATAAAAAAATAAATCAGTGTTTCAATGTAATAATAACAGAAGCTCAGAGATACAGCAGAGTCCTATTCACAGTAACTATAGTCACTTTCATTGGTGCGAAATTGACATCATGGATTTAAGAGAATTCAACATTTACTGGCGATTGTCTCTGCTGGACGGTTGAAGCGCCGGCAGAGAGAGTAACAGCATTTTTATGACCGTCTACAACCATCAAGAGAGTCACCCAGCCTCCACTCTGTCTCACTGTCGAGCACATCCATTCTCAGTCTGTGTAGGGACCTGTAGAACTTATCATCACCAGACAGAGATAACGATCAAAAGGGAAATTATTCAGGCCATATAATGAAATTAAAGGCCTGAGAAATGGCTCGTTTGTAAGCCGTCGTAGCGGATCAGTAAGAAGTAAATGACACCATCACTGCTGCAGTTTCAGTGGTTCAGTTATCATTCGGCAAGTGTGAACAACTTTTGCAGTCAGTGCGGTTCGGGGCCCCAAACCAATGATCAGATTAAAGTCATGATTTAAACATGATGTTAGGTTAGGATAGGAGTCAACACAACAAATAACTTGATTATTGGCTGCTTTGCACAAAGATCTTTCTAACGTTCTACTGCAGACGGGAGAAAGAAGATGAGGCTCGTAGGGAACGCAAACAGAAAATAAATTCCATGTCACAAATACACAAAAGAAATACAAATCAATAAATAAAATCATGCTCAATGCATTTTCTTTCTCCTCCCTTTTATCCCTGTGACTTTCCCTTTCTTCAATCTCTGCTCCATTGGTTTCATTCATCACCAGCCTCCCACTTCCCCTCCCTCCTGCTCATCAGGGGGGGGGGGGGCAGGTTCAGCTGCAGTTCGTCGGAGGCACTGAAGTATTTAGATATATTTCTTCTACATCTGTTAACAGTGATTTGTAGCCTATTAGATTGAAGTGCTTGGGGTCTGGACACACATGCACGCAAACAAACACAATTGGCAGAAAGTCAACAGATAATGATTTCTTTGTTTACTGCCAGCGGCGCATGCACAGGGTGTAAGGAATGAAAGAAAGAGGCCACGCAAGAAGTGATTTAAAAAGAAAGGATATAAATGAAGATGGAGGCAAGAAAGAAGAACTCCCGGAGGCTCGATACGAGAGTTGCTGCCTCATTTTCAATGGACCGGGTATCAGCAAGTATGTGATTCTACGCACCGATCCAATATCACGTTATCATTTACCAGCTCATCCAGGCAGCACAGGAACAACAGCATATGTCACTCGCTATCTGATGTCTCAGCCGTGATGAGAAAGAAGTGAGATGGCTCACTCGTTACTTCCTTCATTAGCTCTGAAACGTTAACGTTTGCTAATGAATGAGCCATCTCACTTCCTTCTCATAAATTGTGTTTGCACTTTAACAATTTATTCGAAGAATTATTTATTCCTTTTGATGTAATTTTTTAAAAGTTTACTTTTCAGTGACTGTCAAACTAGATAATAAAATAAAGCTCTATGGCATTCAATCTAGCAAGTGATAGCGATCATATCACACTCGTACATTTGTTTTTAACGTATTTTACCAGCTCGGTACTCAGTATCGGCTGATACGCAAGCTCAGGTATCGGTATCAGTATCGGGAAGGAAAATACGATATCAAAACACCTCTACTTGATGTGCATGTTGACTGTCTCTTCTTTCTGATTTTGCTTCCAGACACACAAGAAAACATGCAAGCGTGCACATAAACACAGCGGCACACTGAGCCCCGGTGCAAATGCTCATACAAGGACACACACAAAAGAGTGCCGCACAGCTGAGCTGATACAGCGGTTAATGCTTCACAGTTTGTCCTTGAAGTCTCTTCTGAAGAAAGAGCCATCCGTGCCTGTCTGTACAGCTGAGCATACACCAATACTGATTAAACACACCGCTCCTGATGTGCTAACTTGTTTCAAACCAAAGTGGGTCAGGCCTTGCAATAAGCTTTGTAAGAGTCTGTTTTATATTCTGTTGAGAAGGTGAAGACCCTGCAGTTGTACAATACATCCAAATAAATGAAGTGTGCGCCCGTCGTACATCACCTTCGAGGAGGGACTCTTACTGAAAATGATCCTGCAAAAGTCTCCATAAATGGGAATGAAATGGACTATGTGCGATGTTTGTCTTTTTCCCCAGGAATGACTGAGTTTGTTCTTTACAGAAAGAGATGCTGTAAGGTCACAGAAGATGAACGGGGCTCAATTTTCGGATGCAGAAGACGAGAGGGCAGGATTATTTTAGACACGAGGCTAAGACGAGACGTGGGGAAACGAGGAAGAAAGGCAAGATGGGAGTCAAGGGAGAGATTAGAGGAAGAGGAAACGAGAAGGCATCATGTGTGAGGAGAAAGGGAAGCAGACAAGCAAAGCGAAGGGGATGAGGATGTGGAGGAAGAGACAGGGGGGACCCAGGAGAGGTATCAATGAGGCTATCGATCTGTCCATCCAGCGCAGATCTGCCGTCCTGTCACGGTCGTCCCTCATCTATTCGCATCATCAACATGGGATGGTTGTTCTTGCGAAGCTCCTCAGCATTTGCAGGAGTGTGATCAGGATGGAGGGATGGATCAAAGAGAAGGAGAAGGGGGGAGAAAGGGGAAAGTCTAACAGTCTAACTGAGGAGTGGTCGGTAGAAACAGTGCACATATGTGCACTAATAAGGATTTTACCATTTTTAAAGTCTCATTGCTTTAGCAGGCAAACAGCACTACACACACTACAGCTGAGACTGATGGGGATTTGGTCTTAAATGAATCAATCAGGAATCGATTGATTCACCCTGAGGGGACCATGAATCTTTGTACCACATTTAATGACATTCACAGCTACAAACAAAGCATGTGAGACAAGAGAGCCGCAGAGAGTGGGGAGGAAAGAGGAGGGAAAAGAAACAAGACGCCTGTGTACTAAAAGCTGACAATTTGATTCTTGTCCACTTCATCAGCTGACGTCTACTTGACCCACGGCCCATTAGCTCGAATTCATTAAGCTTACTCTGCAAGATTAATTGTCCATAATAATATATACTTTAATATCAAAGGGAGAACACTGCCGTCAATACGTCTAGCTTGTGTCCTGAGGGCTTCGATTGAGCAAACAAACTATCAAATCTGTTATTTCAGCTCAAGTTATTTTTAAGATTTAAAATAGAAAACCCTCCTCGTTGTTGCTTTGTGGCTGAGTGCATTCAAGCGATGCAACTGTCAGATCAAAGAGAGAAAACAGTGTTTTGGGACAGTGTGGGTCTCGGCCTGTGAAAAGGAGGTTAGCTGGTTGGAGTCTGACTTCGGGCTGAAAACCTGCTGACAGCACTGTTAAGTGAGCTGCTGACTCCAGACCTCTATTTGTGTGATCTGTCCCACCTGCTCAGTGGTGGAGCTCAAACATGCAAAGACACACAAACACTCATATATATGCGCACATGCAAAGACAGCACGCATGCACACACATCTGGACAAATGCAATGTGTCTTCCAGCAGTCGTACTCAACTTAAGCTTTTTGAAGGTGGGGCTCAAAGAAAGGGGAATTAGCTGTTGTTTTTTTTCTTTTTGTGTTTGGATTAAACAAACAAAATCAACATGTTAACTGGTAAGATGTATAGATGCTGCAGGGACAGAGCCAGGCTAGCCGTTTTCCTCCGCCTCCAGTCTTTATGCTAAGCTAAGCTAATCAGCTGCTCATTCTAGCTTTATATTTAACTTACAGATATGAAAGTGGTATCAATTTTCTCATCTAACTCTAGCAAAACGAACTCCATTTGGGGCCTGGACCTCTTTTGGGAGGTCTGAGGTCTCCTCCCTGAGCACTTTTTTGAATAAACAAGCTCTATTGGTCTACTTTGAGGGTTTTTTAAGGCACTCTAGCCCATTATTTATATTAAAAGTACAAAAAAAATCCCAAAGAAAATGCTCGGTGACTCACCTGGCACATATTGCGGCCCAGATGGTAGTACAGTATCACTGCCATGTACTGTACGTCATCATGTATCCGAGCCTGGGTTTTTGGTATTTAGAAATGATATCTGCACTGATTGTTTCCCATTGGACTTACATCATAGTGCTGCAGTGGCCGCTGGGATATTTAGACAAAACTACAAAGCCTCCACCTTCCGTTCACTGTGGAGATATCAAAATTTTGTTTTTGGTGACAGTGGCATCCAATTACCAATGCCTCTGTGTCACCCAATGTTTTTTTCTTATAAAAAACAGTTTGTCATCGACTTTGATCCTGGTGAAGTCGTAGCTCAGTTTCTATTTCAGTGAAGCTATCATTGATTCAATTGTGCTGGTTCCTTCTTGTCTGAGTACTGGCAATTATTAAATATTTAATTATGCAAATTGATGTGGGTGGAATCCATACAAGCAAGCACATAAGTCCAAGATAGAAAAATAAATGAATATGAGACGTTGTGTGTGAGTGGAGAAGGGAAGCTGATGCAAGTGTTTGTCCATATGTGTGTGTGTGTGAGAGGAGGTGTTAATGTGCACTGAATATACAGAAGCATGTTTGTGTGTGTAGGTGTGTGGCAGCTTCTTACCTTGGCAGGTGAAGCAGAGAACATGGAAGTGTGTGTTTTTGACGCGCACCACCTCCCCACGACACACCTCCCCACAGCGCTCACACACAATGGGTGAATTTCCACGGCTGGAGAGAGGAGAGCTGCTGTTGTTGTTGTTTCCTCCATAAAGGCCTGACTGGTACTGAACTGAGGAAAGGATCAAAAACATGTCACTTATTGTCCTTCTGAAGCCCTTCCTTCTGTCGTCCTTTCAACTGAATTCAAACATCTTATCAATGTGATAGAAAAAAAAAAAGCCCTGCCACAAAAACATAAACGATGTGATGCATTTGTTTTCTCAGGCAAGTGTCTTGTTACAGGAACATGTGACAGCTAAGCACAAGCTTTAATGCATAATGCATCTGGAAACAGATGCTCAGGTTTGTGTTGCAGATAAAGAAGAAAACAAATCAGATCCTCAATTTGACTCAAACATCATACCGACGTTTGTTTGTTGTCCCTCTCAAAAAAAAAAAAAGGACACTTATTTTTAACGCCACACAAAAGATGTGGCAAACAATCCTGGTGGAAAAACACACAAATACATACACAATATTAAACACGAACATGACCACACCATCGACTGAAGGTTTAAAGGTAGACGAAGAAGGCTTAGTGGTTGGCTTTGTAAATAGTATTGGCACCTGGAAAGTCTGTTGCTCTGCCAGGGAGATCAGCCCGACTTACAGCATCCATTATAAGGAAGCGGCTTAAGAGACAGGTGTAGAGAAAGACGGACACTAACTAACTGAGACAAATTTCAAACTGCTGATGGCCTTCAGTATCTTATAGTTGTCGGGAAATATACAATTACTTATGTACATTTGTACTATTGATTTGCTATTGTAACTACACTTTACAGATTTGCATTGATGTAGTAAACTGTAAACTGTTGTTATACTTCATTATGTCTACACTCATACTACTCCACTTTTACTATGTTTAGTACTTCCGTTTCTTTTCTCCATTTATGGCAATCAGAGAGTGCATTGCAACTTCTGCACATGACAATAAAGCTTTGAATATTGAATCTTGAAACATACATGCAGAACATGACACACACACACACACACACGCACTATGAGAGACAGAAAAGGGAACATCGGATGTTTTGGGATTACACTTCTATCGTCCTCGCTTATGAAACTGGTCAAATCCCTTTTAGAAAAAAAAGTAATTTATTTACGCTGTGTGAAACACACACACACACACACACACACACACACACACACACACACACACACACACACACACACACACACAGCTATGTGTCATGGTAGGGCAGTTGTGAATAGATTTCACTGACTGGCAGCATATCCGATCAATATTGATTACGATTTCCTGTAACAATCAACTGACCTCTATCCAGTGCGCAACAATCTGAGCAATGATTGATGAATGATTCTACTGTATTCTACCCAATTCAATTACATTACAGTTAATGCTGCTGCCTCCAAGAGTATTATGCAATCGCAGCACACACACACACACACATACACACACACACGCACACACACACACACACACCATGCCAGCAGGTTAAGCTGATGACAGCAGGAGAGAGAGTTGTGGATCTATAAATGTAAAGGTAAAGGTCTATAAAGGTAAAATTGGGACAAAAATGTTTCCGGACAAACTGTATGACCAGTATGTGTTTGTGTGTGTGCGTGTGTGTGTGTGTAGGTGTGTGCGTGTGTGTGTGTAGGTGTGTGTGTGTGTGTGTAGGTGTGTGTGTGCACCACAAAAGCTGGCATTGGCTCTGTAGCCAGATGGCAGCACAAGACTGGAACCACAGATATAGTGGTTGTGCATGTTTGTGTGTATGTGTGTGTGTGTGTGTGTGTGTGTGTGAGAGAGAGAGAGAGAGCCTGAGTGTGTTCTTTTGTGTGTTTAAACGTTGTATGTTCTAGTTAACAGTATGTAATTGATGAAGGTGACGACATGTTCATATATTATACATGTACTTTTTGTGCTTCAGTGTGTGTGTGTGTGCGTGCGTGTATGTGTGTGTGTGTGTGTTGTGCATCGTCTTAACACAACGCACACCAGCAGCCAGGTATAATGTCCTGTTCACACACAACCTCTAACCCTCGTCTACACAGTGGTTCCCAACCTTTTCTCTGGTGAGCCCTCGACACACGTTAACTTCACTCTGAGGTGGCCTCTTCAACCAAACAGCAATTTGTCTTTCTCCGATTTTCATTTTGTAAAATGATCCGTTAACTCATGAGTAAAATCATTGAGTAGACAAAACGTTAAATCTGTTTCCTCATGACCCCTCACAAAACATAAAAGAAATTGAACGTTATTTGCGTACAGTTCTGCAGCAAGCGACTTCAAAGTCTGTACTGTTCGACAGAAACACATTTATTCTGACCTTTGACCCTGTGGCTAAACAATAAGGTCTCCCTTAGTGTGAACCAGACCACTTGCTGACATATTTGCAACAGTGTGGCCCCCGCCGGAGCCCCTTTAAGGATAAATATCTCCCTTATGCGAGCTATAAACCTGAGTAGCTGCTAGGAGGTGTGAGTACTCGCTTTGTCTGCAGAGCCGCTTTTGTTTTTTTTTTTGTTTTTTGGAAAATAGATTTTGGGGATTTAGTGGTTTCACATTATTAAAAACATCCTTCTGTGGTTCTATGTTTAGACATTGGGACATATTAATATGTGGCAGGCACGTTGCAGACCAAAGATGTGCAGCTTTGTCTTCCTCTTTCTTCTCTCGAAAACATCCGAGTAGCTGTCAGATGCTACTCTTACCTGACTACTATTGATTGTGATAAGTACTGATCTCTCCCACACACAAAAAAGAGAACAATTTGACTTATTCATTTAATATAATTATGGATGACCTGAGTGGCTCCTGAGACAGATATCAATACAAAATATCAGCCTCTGTCTCTAACCTTCATTGACAGAGAGCCGGCTAATAACATGATGAAATACAGTGTCAATAAGTGAGTCAGTGATCAATAACCTCATTGAAGGGCTGTTTATGTCTGCTTCAGGTTAAACACTCCCAGGACATTATGCTATTGATTATGCAGCAGCAGCAAACACAGACTCACATGAAAACAGACACACACACACACACACACATAGCCTACACGTGTGCACCTCACCAGCACACACACTTACGCAAATGTCACGCACGCACACACACACACACACACACAAACACAGATAGCTTACCATTTGTCGGTCCACTCATGATGTGAAGTGGAATTCAAACAGCTTGAATGATAGTCCTCCTCAGAGTCTGGATCTGCCCGTTCAATTAAGCTTCCAGCTGCAGGACAAAAGCTCCAGATATGACCACTCCTGTCAACTCTCTGTGTCCCTGTCCGACTTAAATCTCTCCCTCTCCCCGTCTCTCTCTCTCTCTCTCTCTCTCTCTCTCTCTCTCTCTCTCTCTCTGTCTCAGTCTGGTGAGGGCTTTCCCTGCTCCTCCCGGTAAGCGGATTACACAGCCAGGCAGCAGACTGCTGTACCTCTCCACCCTGCGTAAAAGTAGCCGGTTGAGGAGTTAAATCGAAACTGACTGCACGTGCCTCCTCTTCCTCGCGGCCTCAGCCTCCGCCTCTCCCACCCAACAAAGCCCAGCTGTCCTCTGGATCGGCGCAGAGGCGTCCATCCCTCCTTGAAAGCCGGTGCGCTCCCGCAGACGCCCGCCCGCCTGTGCGCTCCGGTGTGAGGGCTAAAACGCTGGATGGTGAGTTTCTGAGGGTTTACCACAGACTCGGGGCACCGGGCAGGACGAGCTCCGCTCACGGTGCGAGGGCGCCACATAGCGTTTGAGCTACAAACTGCCAGCAAAGAAACACCTGCCAAATCTGAATGTCAAGCAGACGCACAGTCCAGTTTGGACCCCAAACTAGTTCTGCCGTGCCTCCCTTCACTCCAGTGGGCCCAGCAATACAGTCTTGGTCTCCAGCAGCGTGGTGTCAGTGTCAAGTTTAGGAGTTTTTGTTTACAAAAAAACAACTAAGTAGCCTACATATTTGGGACTCGGCTGACTGAAACCACAGAAACAATGAGAAACGTTGGCAACACACAGACAAAAAGAGATTTAATTTGGATTATACATATTAAACATCTTATTCATTACATACACATTATTTATGGGTGTATTATTGTTGTTTATTATCTATCTATTCTTGCATTTACTTAAAACATCATGTCAATTAATTAAGCTTATTGAAAAGGAGAAAATTGAAACCGGAAGTGTCATGCAAATACATGTTGAAGGTTGTGTACACAAAGGGAAAACTAGATGTGAGTATATTCGTCCTGGTGTGTCATGAAACCAGAGCGATAGCATCATTAATGTCGGCAACTCCACAAATAGGAGTGGCCAAGTCCTGTGGGAGATACGTGCCATCATGCCATAATTACCACCAAAATAAAAGCAAACGAGTGCCAGCGTGTAGTGCCTGTAATTATGTCAATGCAATAGTCACATTTATCATTTGACTATATAGTTGGTTCTGCAGAGTGTGATCAATCAGATGTGATTGTATAGTGTGGATAGACCGCTTGCAACAGTTCAATGCAAGCTGCATAGTGGGAAAATATCAATGTGTGTGTGTGTGTGTTTGTGTGTGCAGGTCTGTTTGTGTGGCAGATTTGGCCCCGCCTTAGGAGCTGCCCTTGTGGGACATTAGCAACTGTATGCTTGAAGATGGACAAATTCTAATTTCTCCAGAGGAAGAGGTACCAACACACACATACACGCCACTCACCAACTCCCCAGTTCACTAAAATTCATTACATCTGCAGCACAAAAGGTGTAAGCAGTCAAGTGATTTGTGTGTGTGTGTGGGTGTGGGTGTGTGTGTGAGTCTTTCTCAGCCAACGATGTGGACTCGAAACCGAGTCAGCAGCTGCAGCAACTATAGAGAATGAAGAATCTACTTGGTTTACCTTAAGTTGCTTGAGTAAATTAAATATTTTTGTTCTGATTCAGGTGTGGAGAGAAGGAGTACATCAGCTTTATGAACGAATTCCTGCAGCAGCACTGGGATGGAATGAGATAAATCCCAATGTCCTCCGTTGGTGGCGATGTGGATCTGCCTCTACGCCCGGCTGTGCTCCATGGCCTTCTGGTAGTCATCATCTATCAGAGGGACCAGATAGGACAGAAAAGACACGAGTCCAGTTTGGTTGTTCGTTGCAAAAGTTTGTGTAACTCTTGCAGTATTTAACATTTATGACAGAGCCTGAGCTGGACATGTCAAAGCGCCTGGAGGACTTCATTATCCAAAGCCAGGACCAGAATGCAATGCTGCAGGCTGAGGTGACCAAGATCCGGAATCAGCTGTCTGTTCGAGAGGAGCAGCTCGCCAGCGCCACCTTCATGTAAAACAATAGAGCCTAAAAGTAATGTGCATGTTGCATTTGTCAGCAAGTTTTCCAGTTGTTTGATTTAAAAAATTTAAAATATGCATATCCTGTATTCCACACTTTATAACTTTAATTAGTCTCATAAAGATGAATAAAGCTGTTAATACTTCAACTGGACCGGGTGTAGAAAGCTGTAAGCTAGGCTGTGTTCTAACTGTTATTACTAATTAGCAGTCAAATATTTGATGGTTCCATAGCATTTTGGTGTTCTTGTCTACATGAACATGTCTTCTATCTGTCACAGGCTCGGTGTGATTGAGCAATTAAGAATATATATAATGGGACCAGGAACAATAGACAATGTAATAAAGTGACTGTGATTAACTAACTCAAAAAAGGGGATTCCTGACAATTAAATTTTAGAAGATATTATGTCTAAATATTAGATATACCAAATCAAATGGCTTAATGGATTTTAAGAAAGACACCATCACAGTCCTGTATTAGTACATTTCCTAGTTTTGATTCTTTATGTCACAATTCCGACTATAAAACTCATACTTTTGACAAACCATGAGTGTTTTAGTTATCATTCTTTGAATCCTTGAATACATTTTATATGTTTCAAATATTGCTTGGGTCTTTTGTTGCTTTTCTATTTTTCCTGACTAGAGAATTGTAATAGATTTTAATATCCATCAGAAGTTAGTCAAAATTTGGTTTTCAATTGGTCCTTTTAAGTGTATGTATATATATGTAATTATAATTATAATTATTATATAATATTATATTTATATAATTATTGGCGTCGCGCTGAATGTCTAAACCTTGTCTTAAGAATAACATTTGACATTTTATGTTATTTTGCTAACATAATATGCCAAACTAGAGGAAATCCTTAAGCGTTCATTAAGCGCTCATCTCAAACCTGTCTCCCTAACCATGCAAAGAACAGAAGAAAAGCAAACGGCAGCTCTTTACTACGGGGCTTCCTATTAAGGGACCAAGGGTTAAGGGAAATTCATTGACTAAATTTACAAGCAAAATAACATACAAAAGAGCTATAATCGAAGGCCTGACAACAACAAAAAGAAACAAAAAATCTAGATTTAAGTAGGCAGCAAAAAAGGCGTTTACGTGCAGCTCCTCCGTGTTTTTAATAACCACCAGGTGGACCGTGATTGGCTGCAGGTCTCCAGATTCACTAGCCAGCAGCCCGAGGGAGGGATAGGACCAGGCGCTGAGGCCCACAGAGTCTAATGGAGCAGCACAGTGCATAACACCGTGATTAACACGTTTTATCACATTCACATGTGGGGGATGTAACAGGCTCCATATGGGGGGCTAATTGCTGGTGACTCTCTGTTGGAATTTGAGATGCGTTTGTAATTTGGTATTTTGTCGGTCCTATGTGGTATCCATGTAATATTCCTGTATATTTTCAATCAGGAAAGTGTGTCAACGGCTCTCAATAGTCAGTTAATGGTGGCGTGACTGTGGCCCACTTTAGTCATGGTATTTTTATCTCATAGCTTGTCACTTTAATGATCATATAATAATATATTATCATAAATAAAGAGAATTTAGGGGGGGAAAAGCACCATAAATTGAATTTATACTGTGCTGTTCCAATAACATTTGACAGAAAGAACACTGTTGTTCATATTGACAAACTTAGGAGTTAAATTTAAATCTGCGTTTGTTTCATATCTGATTGATCCCAGATTTATAGACAGATAGACGGGTGAATAAAAGATTCACAATGATTGAATAGACCGCAGTTCAGCAGCCACAGTGGCTACGGTGAGCCAATTATCTGTAGCTACAAAGACACCCCAAAGGGTGGCAGCACAAGTTAAGACAACATCAATGGAAGCGCTGCTCTGAAGGGTGTGCAGGTACGTTATTGTGTCCTATTACTGAAGTGTCAAAATAGAACACAAAACTAAATACATGAGATGCATTCTGGATGAAGTAGTGGTGTCACTGGCATTAGAAACGAATGACGTTGTGCCTTAGCCAGAATTGCAAACCATTGGAATATTTAAACTTTCATCAGTTTTTCTGTGGCCTTTCTGCCTCTCCTGTTTGCTTTCAGAATCAGTCAGACTTCCGGTCTTGGCTGATGCCTTCAATAGGAAGTCAACTGGGGGTCAGAAAAACAATTTGTCACCTGGAATATAACATCCAGTTTGTGTGTCTGTGGGGACGTCCAGGTGTGATTAATGACCCATTGTCAAGTCTGTCTGCTTATAATAGAATATTTGGGACACAATGGGGTGTTTCCTCAAAAGAACATTTTCTGGTAACTGCGTGTTAAACTTAACTTTGTGTGTGTGTGTGTTGTCTGTGTGTGTGTTTGTGTGTTCATGTGAGCATCAACAATTTAAACTGAGGCGTGAAACAGGTTGTTTAAAATCACATGGGGCATCATTGGGCTTTTAAATACTCCCTTAAACTGCAGGCATCTTTTCTGTGATTAAGTTAGATAGTCAGTGGCACAGTAGGTTCTAAAAGAGGAAATGCAGAAGATGTCAGTTGTCTGTGAAAGATGAAGTTACATTGTTGGACCAGAAGCAGCTGATGGGGAAGTTGAGATTAGTGAATATGGTTTATGTGCACACACGTGAACTCAGGAACAAAAGCAGCATCAACCACATTCTGTTCTTCTGTTTCGGTGAAAAAAAGAACAACAAATGTGAGTCGAGAATTTAGTGAAACATCAATATCAGTAAGTCATTTGCACATTAAGTTTGAGATGTTCATATAGCCGAGTGTAATATCAGGCTGGGAGCCTCCACTTGGCACACGTTTTTTTATTTTGTACACTACCAGGTAAGATGTTATAATAAAGTAGCAGAGTCGCACAGATACAGTATGGCGCTATCATGATGAGGGCGCTGCTGTTCCAGTGCAAACAGGTAAATCATTGCGTTTGCACATACAGTATCAGAGCTTGTTGGTGGGTGGAGGGACGGATGAAAGAAGATGAAACAAAAGCTCATGGTGTGGTGCCTGAGAGGGGAATAAGTGGTCACATCCTCTTGGACAGGAAGCAACAAGCTTTATAGGAAATGTGGCACAACGCCAGCCTGTAAATACCTTAGAGGTGAGATCGAGAGGGAAATATCTGTCTCCTTATAAAAACAACAGTAAAATCTCAGGCCAGAAAATTTAAATAATTAGTTAAAAAACACAAAAACATCCTTAGAGCTGAGGGGAACTGCAAAGTCAGGGAATCATTTTGTGTTGTTTGTCAATATAAACGACTCCTTTCACATTACACTTTGGCAGTTTATCCATTGTTGACACAAAATTATAAATTAGAACAACTTTATTAAATTGATGACTAAACATGCGTTAATTTAATCATTTATTCATCACTCTTCTAGGCTAAAATAGATGTCAGCAATAAGCATTTGAGACAAAGTGAAAAGAGGCATATTCAAACAATTAAGGTCCATTAAGGTCCTAACCAGAGGGCAAATGTGTTGTGACAAATGATGCAGACTTCCTGCAGTCCAGAGACAAGTGTATCATCCATCCCTGTTTTGGCTGAAGCTGCATATCTGGAAGACATTTATTGATAAAAGCCTGAGGACCAAAAGTATGAGAGAAGATTCAGTCTTTTGTTTCACAGCATGAGGTAGAGATGCTTTGCAAATACTTCAGTTTATCTTCACAGTAAAGGCCTTCACACACTGGGGGCCATTATATATTTTTTCGACCTGTTGTTTTGTTGTGAGAACTTTCACACAGCATGCAAATATTGCATCCTTTTCACACCGCAAACCAACCAATAAAGATGTGCGGAACGGACATTTTCCAAACGTACACTATTGGGTACAACAACACGGAGGCTCCGCATTCCTGACCAAGACTTCAAACTTAATTATTTGTTTTAACCTTAACAAAGGCAGTACTTACCAGATCCACTCTTTCCGTTACCTTTCACAATAAAGGCCCTAGACATATATAGTTCAGTGTGTAACTGTTTACCAGAGAGAACTTTACTCAGAGCATTTTGCTTAAAGGAAACTCAATAAAACGACTCACAGTAGAGCTTACGCTTTACAACAATTTACCTCAGATAGACTGCCAGACGCTGCTCTGGGTCAATAGGGTCAATGTAGTTCTAGCCTCATCAACCTTATTGAAAAAGTGTTTTGTGTCGTTTAATCATCACACCCCTGAGTGTAAAGTCCTTAAGACTGGATATTGCCAGTGTGTGTTTATCACAATGTGGAGAAACAAGTATATACTCTATATACAATCACATTGAGGAGACTCTCCTCCCATTTGCAGACAATAATTCTGTCCTGGTTTAAAAGTGCCAAAGGTCCTGGTACATGCGTGTGTGTCTTTGTCAGTCAGGAAATGTTACAAGTTGAAGGTGAGGTCACTGTCATTGTGTGCTTGGATGTCTGAGTATTATCACTGATCAATGTCCCCCTCCCATGATTAAGGGGTCATAAATGGACTATTTCATTTTCAGGGTCCTCAGGCTGTGAGACTCCTAAATTCGGATATATGTGTGTTTTTATTAGCAAAATGGGATTACCAACTGCATTTGGTTGCCCAACCCTGTTGCACAATGACAATAAATTAACCTTCTACCTTTGTAACCTGTAGGATTTATTGTTCAGAATCTTGAGGTCAAAGGTCACAGTACCCTCCACAAAAACATAAGATTTATAACGGTAGGTTAAAGTATGGCTGATAAATCAAAACAGTCATGTTCTTTTCTCCAAATAAAAGATAAAACACACTTTATGTCCACATATCTTCAGATAGATGATTTAGCAATACCTTGTCCCCCACCTTGTCCCAAAATACATTGCATGGCGAAAAAATCATGCAACGGTGTTTAGGATTTTCTTCTCTCCCACAAAACGTCATGGTAAAATCATCTCAGGGCTTTCTCTTAGTGTGTGTTTATCATCATAACAGATGGGGATTATCTCAACCATCATTCAGCTGAAGCACATGTTGTGTGTTATTCCCCCATACCAATGGTGTCATCTTTCACATTGGAAGACATAAAATAATCTCAGTCATTGTTGACTGAGATAACAGTATGAGAATTACACACATCATTTATCTGCAAAACAATAGTGACAAATTAATTCAACTCACGATAGTTGAGAGCTGTATTTCTCACAACTCAGAATAGTCAAGTCAGAGGATTTGCTTAATTTCTCTGTTTTATATTTGTGTTCATTTAATATTTTGGTGTTTTGGACTTTTGGGCAGACCAAACAAGGCATCTGAAGATGTCACCTTGCACCCTTGGAAACTGTGATTGATATTTTTCACAATTTCTCACAAAGGAGAGAAAAGGAGAGATGGTGTGATGGAAAGACAGGAAAAGTGGGAGGGACGATGATGACAGAGAGAGGAGGGAAGGAAGGGAAAGGTGCTGAC